CCCAAGTGCAGCTGGTCTTCATCTGAAGGCAACCTGTAACAGAAGGCTGCAGAGAGCCCCATTGTGCCCCTCAGCCCCTAGTGTGGAATGTTGAGGGCCGAGGGGATTCTCCAAGAACCAAACCATGCCATGTGCAACAACACCAGCTGCACCCATCACCTTCAGTGATCCCATACACAACCGGGGAAAACACTGCAGGAAAAGAGTTGCCCTAAGAGTAGCCTTACAGGAATCCCAGGTACAGAAGGGTGGCAGTTTGGAGCTGTAAGGTCACGTTCACCCTTCAATTTATGCATCACAATTCTGCATCTGACGAATGGAAACTCTCCAGACAATAACAAACTCCTTTTTCCAGGCATGAGCCCATGCTCTAGGGCTTAAACCACCACAAACACAACCGAAAAGGAAACAGAAGATAGCAATCCCAGAAGGATTTAGAATCAAAATATATTTTTAATGGTGCCCTTAATTTCATTTATAACTTCATGGATATTTTGTTGGCATGGGGAATGCTGAACACCCAGTGCCATGGCAGACACGAAGAAAAGACCCTCCAGAACCTGCTCCAGCATCACAATTCCTTGTTCCCAGCTCAACAGTGCTGGCAGCATTTAAGGATAGGTATCAGTTGTTTAAACTTAACATACATAAATTTATCTACTAGGGGTAGTAACAGAAAGGGAGGCTGCAAATGCTTATATTTAACATTGTAAGAACATGCAAAGCTTCAATGCAACACTCTTACTCAGGGGAAAAATCCAGCCTATGGCCAAAGGAATCATTCCTGAGAGGACACTGCAACATCTGCCACCTCCTGGGATGGCAAAAGTATGTGAATCACCACTGATATTTTAAACCTGTATTTATTTATAGCTTTGTATCATGTACCCATCGCTCAGCATCTGGGCACACACACATGTATTAAAATAATATACATCACTGGTCTACAAATCATAACTGAAGTACATTCTTCCTCCTGGGATACAGATTTACAAGTCCTCCACTGTTCCCCAAGCAAAGGCTTGAGTAAATGGATACCAGGAGTAACAGGAGAGGAAGGGCAGCGAGGACCATCGCACGGTGACAGCGCAGGGGGACAATTAGTTTGAGCCAAAAGCAAAGCAGAGGTGTTGGGATGCTGGAAACTCAAAGCATGTTAAAGACACTTTGATTAGCCTTCAAAATATCTCTCTATATAGATTAGCTCAATAGGAGTAATACTTACAAGGCCTTGTAACTTTTTCCTAGCAGTTGGTCCTACGCATGGGCTTTGCACAAGTCTTCAGCCTCACGCATTGAAACACGGAGCCACCCTCATCTGGGCTGGACATAGCAACAAGGTGAAGGTCACCCAAACCGGACAAGGAGGAAAAGATCAGAAGAGAGTAATTGCTTCTAAAAGCACTCCTGAAATTACACTGCACATACGTACAGTTGCGTGTTGCGTGTCCATGTTTCTGCATGTCAAACCCATGTAAAACCCATCCAGGCAGCACTGATTTTTCCAGGCCCTTCTCCCGCAGACTGCTGTTCACCCAAGTAATGCTACTGAAGTCAATGGAAACGCTCTTGTAAACAAGGACTTACAAGAACCCAACGTGACAATGGTTTCAAAAGGAGTTTTGACTGTGCAATTGTTGCTGGATTAGGGTTTTCAGAGACACCGAGCCTGCTCTGAAGAGCACCCAATTCAAATCTGCAAAGCGCTGGGGCCTCCGGAGTGGATCCCGGGAAGCACTGAAGGACACGCTCAGCCTGAAGCATGGGAATGGCTCCCGGGCTCCCCCCGAAGATGGGCAGAACCCCTATGGAAGGGACGGAGCTTCGGGGATAAAAAAAGACAGGCTCTCCTCCCTCCCTTTTATAAGCCACTGACCTAAACTGAACCGTATCACATCGCTGCCTAAATTAACATGGAATAAAGCGTACAAACACCTCGTTACAAAAGGGGAAAAAAAGGAAAAAAGGAAAGAAAAAGAAAGAAAAAGCAAGAAATCCCACTCAGCATAACGTGTTTTCTACAAAATCAGCCTGTTTGGTGAAATCCTCATTTAAAATAATTGATTCAGCAATAAACCAGCAGCATAGACCAGAAGCACAAACAGCAGCATTTATCAACAGCACTTGCCCAGATAAGTAAAAGTTTGTAATAAATAGATCGCCCATTACTTTGCTTATATAAATGCAAAACAGCCACAAACCAGAGCAGTCATACAAAAGACAAATAAATGAGTTAGACACAAGTCCAGGACTTTAAGAAGTCTCCCCTATATTTAATAAAGCATGAATTAGTTTTATAGAAACACTAACAGACCCCTTGCAGACAGGGGGTTTTCTTTTATCTTTATATTATTCAATAAGACATTTTGTGTTTAAAGTGAACTATTGCTTCATCTCGGTGGCCCCTCTGCTGGGCACAGAAATTAGGCTGTGAACAAAATAAAAACCAGCATTGAAAATTACAAATTGTACAACTTTAAAGCATTTTGACATTTTTTTCCCTCTCAGTCCAAAGAGATAAATAAGTGAATCGCTGGGAAGGTAAAAGTTGGTGGTTTAACATCAATTTCTGTGCCTATGTAAAATAAAAGAGAAGCCAGAGTCACTATTAACTGCGAGATGGAGGAAAAGCCGCAATTACAGCTCATCCTGTTCTAGCAGCTCAGCAGGTGGAAAACATTTAAATCAGTGACTTTCCAGAACCGAACCTGCTCCTTTGTGTCTAACACAAGTCAAAGTCCTCTCGGAATCAGTGAGGCTTTTCCTTTTGAAGAACTGAGTATTGGGGATTCTGCAGTGATTTAGAATTAAACCATTAAATATGTCATTTCACAAGGCTCCAGGATTTTTTTGTTTCGCTTCATTTTTCTCCCAGAAAATGAGCCTGTATCTAGTGCAAAGCAAAATATTCTCCCTCGCTGCCCCTTGGAGAACTTCAGACACACCAAATGCTATTAAATAATTGACTCTGTATCAGCTCTAGGAAAAAGGATTAAAATTACTTTCATGCCGTTGAGGTTATGGTGTGTTCAAAAGCATCCAATAGGAAAACAAAAGAAAAAGGGAAAAAACAAAGAAAAATTACCTTTGGAGAATGACTTGAACTAAAAATGGATCAATTACAACCCGCATCTTGGCAGCTTTTTACACTGACAACACAGTTTTGTTTACGCATAAAATAAGCATTTGGAATCTGTTTTCAAAGGAGAAGTGAATAGATTTCACAACCTGATTGGTTTCCAATTGGGGAATTGCACGTACAGCGTTAACGTGGGGTTTGTGCTCCAACAACTGAGCTGAGATGGAAGGAGAGGCTGGGGGGGCCGCGGGGGGGCGAGGGGAGGGAGAGGCTGGAGCTGCCGCTGAGGGCGATGCGCGCCGACGCCAGGGCTTAGGCTTGCACCAAGGCAAAAGAGCTCTACAGGATTACCAGTGGAGTGGATCAGGCTTTCTCAGGGCTCTTTAACGCGGGAGAATCCATTTTAAATTGCTTCAAACATCAAATGAAACACAAGTTATCTAAACATCAGATTTTCTAATTTTATTAAAAACGCACAAATTTTATCCAACATGTTTTCTTTCATACAGTGAATGGTCTAATATGCACTGGAGGTCACACAAGCTTAGGTTTATTCGAACAATAAAAGACATATGAGAAATTTAATATATAAAGGAAAAAAGTAGCAGCTGTTGACTGCATATTTGACCATAAAATTTAAATATTTTGGACTTTCATTTTAAAGACACAAAAATAAAACCTGTGTGGGTCTATATAAGTCATATTAACAATTCCATGAATGTTCAACAGGACTAAAAATTAGCAAAGATGTTGGGGTTTTTTTGTCTTTTTTTTTTTTTTTTCTCTTTTAAACCTTGTAACACTTTTTAAACACCTTCTCGGGTTGCTGGTGCAAAGCACCTTACAGTATTTGTGCTATAGATTCACTTTATTTGGCAACTGTCTGGGTTTGGTGGGGTTTTTTCTTTGCCTTCTGTAAACAACACCTTTTACAAACTAGCACAGTGAACCACAAGCCCTGCAATCTGTTAGAACATCGACAGAACAGAAAAAAGGAACTATTTTGGTTGGTTGCTCAAAATCTTTTGCTTTTGAACAAGAGGTTCTAAAACAGGATTTATTAGTAAAACATTGAACTCCTGAATTTAACATTAGACGTAAACAGTTGACTGCTTTTAGTTCAATAGAGTCTTTTTTTGTTTAGCTTTTCTCTCTCTGTGAAGGTAGAATACTTTGTGTTTGTTTGTTTGTTTGTTTGCTTGGTTTTCAAGTCATTTTGCCTTAGAGGTCTGGCGACCTTCGCTATGCCGAGGAGGTTTTGTACGTGTAGCTTTGTGAAGGTAGAAGAGTTGGTGCTGAGGGCTTAACATTTAGTATTTGCTATTTTGGAAAAGAAAACACAAAAAAAGGAGAAAGGAAAAAAAAGGAAAGTTGTCCCACCTGGTAGTCTGCAGGCTGCAATGGCTGGAGCTAAAAAGAGTTTCTTGTTGGCGAACTTTCTGAGAGACAGAAATTAACAAACAAATTCAGAATGCCAGAACCATCCTTAACCGGGAACGCTAGAGTTCTTGACGCTTTATTTTCCCCCTTTTTTCCTTGACCTTTCCTTCTTTCAATTATTAATTTGTTTTTGTTTTTAAAACGAGAAGTTTCTAAGGATTGTGGCTCTTAGGATGACATCCGTCAGGGTGACCACACTCACGCCATCCTACGGTATGGCAGCACTTTACTGTACAGCTTCACCAGTTCCTTTGTCAATGGTACAAAAAAAAGTCAGTCCCTTTGCTTGTTGGATACAACCGTAACGCGGAGATTGTCCTGGTCTAGAGCAAAGCTTCCCTTGGAGCGGTTTGGGTTCAGTTCGTGCCCAAGGTAATATTGTCTTAGGGCAGGAGAGATGTTCTATGTATTCACTTCTGTACACCGTAACAATAAGCAGACTAGATGATCATCACTTACTTAGACCCAGTTTGTTTTAAAGCTACCACACAGCCGCTTCGTTCATTTCGGGGGGGTGTGACAAGTGATTGCCGTAGTTAGCACCACCGTTGACTGATAGCGAAGAAAACGGAGGACTAGGGCCAAAAACTTCCGCAGACATGGAGTGCAAGGACCCGGGCAGGTTGGGTTCGGGGCTGGGCGAGTCTCCCGGGGGGTGCGACATGATGTCAGTGAAGCGCTGGGCCTCGCTGGGGGGGTGATGTCCGGGCAGGGGGTGGTCCATGGCCCCCAGAGGGGTGCCCGATGGCCCCGAGGAGGGCACGAACGGGAGATCCACGGGCGTCTGAGCTTGGGATGATGGAGGTCCTTGCGGGAAGAAATCGTAATTGCTTCCAGGGCCGTAATACTCGCTCTGATAATCTGCTGGGCAAGGAGAGACAGAGGGGAGGTAACACGCAGGCAAAGCAACCGAGTGGAAAAGACACGAGAGCGCATTTTAAGGGCGGTGTAAGGGGGGGAGGGGGCTTGAAATGTCACCCAGAGCTCGACAAACACAAGACAGGG